TTCAGTGAATCACGGAAGTGCTGAAACACACCAAAAATTTGCAGATGCTGCGAGCCTCCAGATCTTTAGCCCGACTTCCCAGGTCTGAACAGAGGTCAGCGTGCGCATTGAGCTCTAAGGCTGAGGTTTTTACAGCACTCCCACGCACATTTTAAACTATAACACATGCAAGTATGAATTACACACAAATGCTATGTCTGGACCCTTAATTGCAAAACTGCACCAATCATTTCACCAGCTACAGAGTCTGCAGGTTTTAGATTCCACCTCAAAATTTCACAACCAGGTAAAACCCAAGAAACCGCACAGAGCGAGGTAACTGAGTAATCATCTTCTGTCATTGTTCAATTAAGGGCTGATTGAAAGAGAACAGCAGCACACACCCTGCGGTCCTACAGGAGCGGGACTGCAGTCCACCTCTTTGCAGTCATTTGCGATGGATTAACTGGTGATAGAATTTCCCAAGTAATACTCAGTATCTCATCATCTAATGGACAGGTGTGTCTGAGCTACAGCTGTCATGCCTACTTCTGGAGTTAAAAATTATGCCGTGAATCATCATTTAGTTGCATTTTGATGTAGACGTGATCTCAAAAAAAGATGTTTATGATTACAGTTGTCTTTGCTGCTGAAACACTTATTACAGCTCTTAGTGTTGGTTGTTGCAGTGCTACATGCACTGATTTGCAATTCTTGGGTTCGATGCCATAGCGCTTGTTAAAAACATCAGTTCCTTGAAGTCGCTGTTTCTGCCAAATCATTAAAACATACATATAAAAATGTGTGCAGTTACTGCTGTCTTTATGCCTGTATTGTGTTTGAGCTTGTGGTTCCTACATGTAATTCTTGTGACCTACTGACCTATATGCATGTTCTATTTCTGTTCTTTCTAAACTGTTTATATCACCTGTGATTCTGGAACAACTTATTCCATTTATAAACCAGTTACTGTTCAACATATGGGACTCAGCAAAATACCTCAGCTAACAAACAGTGACAGTCTAAATTTCAAGCGCCAGATTATTGCAGTGTGGTTCAGTTCCAAGACAGAATGTGAGTATAAACAAAAAAACATTCACAGTCTCTGTTTATGTTGTGGTTCCTTTCAATTGGGAGACTGTTACAGTTTGTTACAGTTACGGAGCTTACAGTTTGGAATGGGTCAAGTTCCCTGACCTTTGACCCCACCCCCTCAGTCTCTGATGTGGAATCTGGGTAACTTTATTGAGTTTTCTGCTTCCTCCAATCGGATTGCTGTAAAAAGATTTATGATGGTTGCTAGGGCTCCCATCCCACTTGCGATTTGTCAGAAATGTTAGGGAACAATTAGCATAAGACACCCATGGATGCTGGGAAACATTATGCAGAATAGAATGAGAAACTGGTCATTGCTAATAATCACAAATCTGACAGATGAGGTTACCCTAAAGATAGCCTAAACTTCAGATACTCAATCTCTCTCATACAGAGTTTAAAAAAACACACAGATTTTTGGCATAGACTGTCTGCAATGTGACTGGTGCTCACAGGTTTCTGAGGGTGAGATTTGGATGGCTGGAACTTGTTTAATGCAAGTTTTCCTGGCTACACAGGGGGTGATTAATTAGGGAGTAGCAGCTAACTCAAAACTGGTTTATTTGCAAAACGCATACCCCAAAGCAGGACGGCCTCAGCGCAGACAGTCGTTTGTCAGACTCACAGTCATGAAGCTATGCTGAGGGTGATACTTCCACACGAACGTCCCCACACCTCCGAGGAGGCAGTGCTATGGTCTAACTCTGCGGCCCATCCCCGTCTCTTCCCTCTGTCCCTAATCCAGGGGATTCTGGGAGCTCACTCATCATTTGCCAGGCAGAAGAGAGGCTGGCTCTCAGACAGCCATTATGCGCCTCTGTGAATTAACGGAGGTAACAACGTCCCCAGTGGGCAGCTCGAGGAACCCCTCTTCAAAGTCAGAACATCTTTTAGATTTTCTTTTCCCCATGTCTCCTCCTTTTCTCCAACCCCCCTCCCGCCCCCCTCCTCACACACACTTTCCTTTTCTTCTCTTCCTTCATCTTCCACCTCCAAGGCTAATCTCGTGGGGCCTGATCTATCTTGCACTCGAGGCCTTGAACCTCCCACCCTCTCCAGCTTCCATTGTTTGTAGAAAGCTCTTCAAATCCCAGAGCCCCCCATGAGAATCTCCTGTGACCCCCCATCCCCCGAGCCTGCCACCCTGCCCCCACTCTCATCTCAGAGCACTCTTCACCTCTGTGAGAGAGGACTAGAAAAAAAAGGACAGAGAGAGAGAGAGGGAAGGGGGGGGCAGACCAGTTCTGTCTGGGCAGCTGTGGTCTCTTATTATGACTCTTTCATCTCAGTGCCCGCCCCCCTCCACCCCCCCCCACCCCGCAGGCCGCTGGCACCCTCTCAGACCTGGGGACGCCACCATGGATCACAAACAAAACACAAATTTACATTTTCCGGATCCTTATCTCTTCTTCCTCTGGAATTCATTCTGGGCCCTTTTTTTTGCTGGGGACGCAAATAAATGCTGGCAACATGTGGCGTGCAGCGCCGATCCTGAGAGAGATTACCTGCCCCGTATTTTTAGTAGCGGAATGTGTGGCGAGACAAGCCTTTTTGGGAGGGGTGGGGGGTTGGGGGGGTGCTGTAAGCTCTGAAATCAGCCACCGAGTGAACTGGCCTGGCTCTAGCTCCAAAAAGAGAAAAGGGAGAGGAGTTTGATGTGTTTACGGGTGTGGACATTGAGATGGGGCAAAAAGCAGGAATTTCTCTTGGATTTCTCAGGCAATAGTAAAGTCCCACAATTCCTTTCTGCACCCTGTAACATGAGCCAGGCTGTGTGGTGGAGAGCATGCACTGTAACGGTTCCATCTCCCCAGTAATTCGAACGGCAGTCGATGGACATGATTAAAACAATCCTCTCTTCCTCTCTCTCTCACTGTGTGGGCTTTTGACGGGCACAGCAGTGAGATAAGCCAATTAGTCGGGGGACAGAAATGTCGGGGGAACAGAGCCCTGCAGGAAGTCAGCATCCCGCTGCCAGTAACACCCCAACACCGCTGCCAGTTTGGGTGACCCCCCCCCCACTGCCCACCCCTTGCCCTGTAGGCCACCGCCACCACAATGACCCCCCCCCCAAAGGAACCTGACCTCTGTGGTCAGCTGACCACCCTGCACCATTCACCTGCAGGCTGTTAAGCATCACATTACCCATATGCATTTATCATACTTACACAGCCGGCCTTTATCCAATCACATATCACAACTCATTTCCTTTATGCAATTCATTTCCTTTGTCCAATAATATCGTGAGAGAGGGCCTCCTTGAGAGTCTTTGTTCAGTACATTATTTTATATTTATTTTTATAATAATTACCAGTTTTTCATACAATTGTGTACTTTTACTGAAGCAATTCAAATTCACCAGTTTGTTTTTTTTCTACTCTGTTAAGAGCTGCAGGGAAAGGCAGTCTGCCCTTGAATTTCACTATCCAGTCTCTGGCGACACGCACTTCAAATTTAGCCATTTAGCAAACTCTCTTATCCTCAGTGACTTTGACAGTTTATTTCTTGTTTAACAACTGATCTTTCTCCAGATTATACAGAGCTGCAAACACGCCAGGGACTTGAACCATCAACCCCTGTGTTACAAGCCCACTTCTACGCTACGCTGCCGCCCTGGAACACACAGGGAAACAGGAAGTAAAGAGTGCTGAGTACGCCCTCTTTTGTTGCCTCTTTCTGACAGCGCAAACCTCCACATTCCACTAACGATCACGCAGGGCAGGCGCCAGCTCTAATGAACCTCAGGAAGCTTCGTTTTCCAGCACACGGCCCACATCGTCATGGACACTAATCTGACACGGTGGCATAGTTTGTCACGTAATCCTCAGATTATGAGGGAGTAACAATGTAAGGAGCTCTGCGCTGCGTTACAGCTGTGTGTTAATGGGACTCATCAGGAGCTCTCTGCTTACGTAGGCGACTTAATTAGCTTCTTCATTAAGACACGAAAGACTATCGTGCATTGTGACTTTGGCAGAGCTGCAGCCAAGAAAACATATGCACTTCAGAGTGTTGTGCTTTGAGGACATGTAATCTGTTCTGGCTATTTGTATCATCGTATACAGACAGTGAAAGGTATTTCCGATGGCTGGGTGAATTTTTACTTCAGGCTCTCTTCAGGCACTGCCATCTCCAGGCCTGTAAGACTGCACAGTCACAGTTCTGAGATTCACTCATTGGTCGTGGCTATGGGTGGACCTGGGCAGGTAACGGGGGTCCGTGCTCACCTGTTTATGGGGTCCCCTGAGGATGTGGGCCCTGGCCCCTTCACATGCCGTCCTCATGGCCTCCAGCGAGGGGGTCCCCAGCAAATCTGTGATTAGATCGAGCTACGATCGAGAGAGAGAGAGAGAGAGAGAGAGAGAGAGAGAGAGAGAGAGAGAGAGAGATAGGGATGTTAGCCACACGGCAGAAACTCTGAAAACACACATTATTTCCCTTATACAGAGTTGTAAAAAGTGTTTGAAAGGTGTGGGGAGTGGGGAGTTCCCCCACTGCCAAATTAAGACATATAAGTTGAATCAATATGGGAAGATTAAATATATATTCATAGAAGTCCCCTCCCCATTTATAATGGGTTCTAAGTCCTTGCCTTAAGTCATTTCCTTAGGCCAGTTCAGGAGAACATTGCATTCTGAAGAATTCCATTCAGGAAATTATTTTCTGCACTTTGTCAGGCCCATCAAATACCAATCAACCCCTACCATGCACCGAGGCACAGAGAAGCTTGTGTAAAGACACTGAGCTTAAGGCTACCAGCAACATACATAATCTATTGCCATACACAGGATGGCAAAATGCAGTGACATTCATATTCTTAGACGCTGCACACATGCTCTTATCCACAGTGACATGCATAGTTTAACATATCATCCATTTATACAGCTGAACATTTACTGAAGCAATTTAAGTAACTTGCTCTGGGGGTACAACACCAGGGGGAATTGAACCTGCAACCTCTGAGTTACAAGCCTAGTTCCTTGACCATTATGCTAGGCTGCAAGAATTCCCTCCTGTCACTTATGTTGCATGTATTCACTATCACTGTCATGGTTCTTGCACAGCATAGTTAACTTGCATTAGTGCATCAACAATGTTAAATGGACACTCTCCGGACTGGCAGTGTTGGTAGCCTGGGCTATGCCACTGTTGCTCACATAAGTCATGTGGACTACTGCAATAATGTTCTCTTACATTGTAAATCATTCTTGGGCAAATATGAATGCAATGTAAATGTAAATGTAATGTAATATAGAGCAATCTGTTTTATAGACTGCAGACCTTAAAAGGTATTACTACGGTGTACTGAAGCAAACCTTAGCCATGGACAAAGCTAGCGCTGGAGCCAATGCAGATTTTTTTTGGCAGGAGAGCAATAAGCTGCGGCACCTTTGCAGCTGAGTGCTCTCAGAGCTGGGGGGGTGAGGGTGCAGAGAGGGGGGTGAGGGTGCGGGGAGAGGGGATGGGGGTAGTAGGTTAGGCCAAGGCTTCACGCCCACTGCAGAGCAGTTATTAATAGAACACACGACTCCTCAGCCAAGAAAACACTTGCACATCAAAAAAAAAAAATAACAGAAACAGACTGGGGGAAAGCGATGGTGAAAGCGCGTATCAGAGCGCTGTGCCTCAGGACTTCCCAAAGCCAAACGGGCCCTGGTATCAAGAGCACGCTATGCAGGAGAGGAAGTCCTCACGCTCTTTTACAAACACACAGCCCCTGCAGGGCCGTGTGATGGAACCGTACCGCCTACTGCATGTTCCGCAGAGGAAACAGGGAGCCAGCCCTGGAGTCCACTTAAAGCCCAGAACTCCTCCTAAAGACGGTAAGAGTGAACCGCTTCCAAATGCGCCGTTTCGCGTTTGGATATAAATATTTACAAACTGTTGAGCCAAAGCAAATGTTTGGATACTAATCTGGATACAAAATGCCAATGGATAATACGGAGCGGATTACTCCTTCTGTTGGTGAAACAGCAGTGTGTTTGTGAGAAAAAAAATGCTGTGTATTTCATACTTCATTCCTGCCTTAAAAAAAGGCAGGTATGTTACATTGTCGGTCATTATGAAAATTTCTCCTCTGTCAACAAGGCTAGCTCTGTGCTTTGTGTGTGTGTGTCTGTGTGTGCTTCCTTAATTTCCCCAAAAAACACACACACTGTGGCCTTCCACTACTGGAGTTTGACACCCTGGTTATAAAGAGCGCCCCTCGCCCTGTGTCATTCAGGCCAGACAGTGTGTGCTGGTGGGACGGGACGGGAACAGCTGGGATTGGGCTGGGGAATGTCGTACCTGCTGGATGGGGCTCTGGGCCTGGAAGAGGATGCGTCGACCCAGGAGCTCAGCGAAGATGCAGCCCACCGACCAGATGTCGATGGCGTTGGAGTAATGGCGACTGCCCATCAGGATCTCCGGGGCTCTGTAGTATTGGGTCACCACCTCCTGGGTCATGTGACGCGACTCGTCCAGCTCCTCCACCCGGGCCAGGCCAAAGTCACAGATCTGACATAGAGGGGGAGAGAGTGAGACGCAGGCTGAGAGGTGTGCTACAACCATTTAAAAATGTCCAAAACTACCAGAACCAACGGTTTAATATATGTGAATACAACCACAAATAATCCAATGGCAGGCTCATCGGTTGCCTTAAAACTGTGCTCTTAAAAAGTTGAACACCACAGAACATTTCATTAAGGTGGTTGATAGGATATGTCATCATATGAAACTATATAAAAGTGTGAATTAAATTAGAAGAAATGAAATGAAAGACTGCACTCGTTTAACATTGTGGTACCCAAAGAACTGATTTCCCAGGTAACCATTGCACTGTTATACTGACAAGGTAATTAAATGTCAATTTTCAACACCCAGGAATGGAACACAATAATAGTATCACAATGTCTGCTTTCAATCTGAACCATGGCCAGTGCTGTTTTTTTCCAAATCAGTAGAAAATAATTTTTGGTAGGAAAAAGCTGCAGCCACATAGTTTGTACTAATTTTATGCACCAGTTTGTGCTAACTAGTGATTTGAAAATGTAACAGTAAAAATATGCAGTAATAATATGTCAGTAGCTCATTGATTTAAACCAAGAACCGTGTTCTAATGTGAGAAGAAAACCTTTTGGTTGGCAAGAACTCGCCAGTGATTGACATGTAATTACGGCTCCACTCATTTCTGGTGTCACAATACTTCATTCAGCCATCACTAGCACAAACCAGAAAAAATTAAGACGAGTAGCCCAGGTCTGGGGAAGGATCGCTTAATAAAGATTTTTTTATTAAAAATGCCAACCAGCAGAACATGGAATGCGTGTGAGGCTCTCTGAACGCACAACCAATCAATGGAGTGATACTGGCACACAGAATGGGGTGCTACAGTGTGTGTCCATCGATGCAGTCATCTTCATCGCAGCCCATAGGAAAACAGATTGGTCAAAACACGAGCTACTGTACTGACACATTTTTAAATACTGCATTTGCGTGGTAGTCACTCCATCAAGCCGTCAGCCACGTTGAAAGATCAACGCTCATGTGTCTTTCCACACATTTTCAAATTCACTCATTCTTCGTAGTAGCCATAAAATGGAAAACCGCATTATCTCTTCAGACAACAAGCTATTTCGGACTTCTTCTTCAGAGGCATGCACTAAACAGAAGCTAAGAAAGTTGAAGACTCACATATCTCAGGCATTTCACTCATTAATTAGCACATTAGCACACCTCAGTACACTTTCAGCTCTCACATGGTATCAGCCTCTCCTCACTCGGAGTGAAGCAGACAGTCTGAGAGCACTCTCTGGCGGGGCCTGGTTCTCCCGGACATGAGAGAGGGCCATTAGCGGATCCCCAGTGCATTGCTGATGACAATCCATTTCTCTCCAGCAATAAGCTCCATTTATCACCGCAAAGCTGCTCCATGAAGGCGTTACGGAGAGGCGTTACCCAGGGCCCCAGGAAGGCTCTCCATCCTCCGGCCGGACTTTCCCATGAAAAATCTCAAAACACCTGTGCGCCTCTGAGCTTTTTTTTTTTTTTTTCACTGACTATGTACCATTTCCTTCTACGTTAATTCCACACAGACTACAGTTAGCCTGCCTTTATGCCGACAAACAAGGTGGCTATTACTCAACAATGGATTAATACTCTCCTTCCTTTCATTTGATATGGGTTCACTTGTTAGCAAATTATTGTAGTTCCAGAGTGCACAAGAATAAGACTGCACAAAGCAAAACCATCAACAGTCGGGGTATGGGCAGAAACTGCTATATCTACAAGGGTCCATGTACTTAATGTATTTGCTGTATTCTATTTATATCCACCTTCCTTTCATGCAGTAATTGACATTAGTCTTACTAGATTCTACTGACACTCATGCTGTAGGTATTCACTTTGGTATGGGCGGATGGTGGATAAAAAATGTACTACAACGGGCTGTATGTCACAGGCATTTGTAAAAGCAAATCATGGGTTTTTATGTCAGGTTTACTTATTGATCTGTGCATTGCTATTAGTGGAACGTTTGTTTATGTGTATGGATGAGTGTACATGTGTATAAGTGCTCAGTGTGTGTGCGTGATTGTTAAATAAAAACAAAAAAATGCTGGCCATAGAAAATAACAAACACTCTGCACAGCGTCATGCCTGACGCAGGGGTAATGAGACGGAGAAGTGAATCGGTGTAGCACGCATCGACTGGTTGCACAGGGTCGCTCAGCTATTATTGTTATTCCTATGGCATTAATCATAATGCAGCAGGTCGGGGCTTGACACAGTGCTGGGTGCGCTCTAGACCGGGACCAGGGGGCGTGAAAGTCCTGGGAGCCGCGGTGTCTGCTGGCCTTGATTCCAAGGCGTAAATTAGCTGCTGATGGAAAATAAATGATGTAAATTTCAAGAGACCGTGGACCTGCAGGACTAGAGTTTGACATCCCTGCTACAGATCGTTTATTAATTGATGAGTCTAAATGGGTTGAATTCATGTCAAAATGCCTTCTTACGTTCTTTACACAAAGTGAAAGGACTTATTTGACCTTTTTAAGGACTAATGGATCCAACATAATTGAAAAAAAATTATTCAGGACATTATGACTTATTTTTTATTGAAAATAAGAAGAGGAGAACCATAATTCTGCCCAGCTAAGCTCACCGTTTAAAATATAGAGTATCCAGTACTGCATCAACCCTGGACTTAAACACAGCATGGGTCTCTGCGTCAACGACAAGAACAGGCATCCTGTTCTAGGTATTGACAATCCTTTGTGTAAAATAATACTGTCTAAAATCAGCACAGAACCTACTTTAACTAGTTTCCTTTTATGCTCCCTTGTTCTACAGACTGAGGGCACCCTAAAAGAAGTCTTGTAGTTCACCTTATTGAGCCCATTTGTAAATGTAAAAATCAATAAATCTCCAAAAGTCTCATTCTGTTAAGCCTGAATGGGTTAAGCAGCTTGAATCCTTCCTCATAGCTTTTGAACTTCACGACAGGAACAATTTTAGTTGCACTTCTTTGTACTTTTTTCAAGAGCCTCAATATCTTTCTTACAGTGGGGTACCCAGAACTGCACACAGTATTTGTGCAGAACTGCCTAAAGCATTGTATAATTTTGATGTTGCCTCCTTTGATTTTTAATCAATACTTTTTCCTTACATCCCAACTACTATCCTTAAACTCAGCTCTTAGCACTCTGACATCTGCCTGAGAGATGACACACTTTGGAAACAAAACACTCTTCACTGCCTTCACAACATTTCAGAGTAAATTTTACAATATATTTAAATCTATAGAATAAAGGAGCATGCACTTACAATGTTTCAATGATCCGATGGGTACCAAATCCCTGTTGAGTTATACTGTGTCAAATTGATGGAAAGATACTAAACTGCAAGGGTTGACAGTGAGCTAGAGAGGTACACTACAACCACTCTGAAAACCAAATAAAAAAAAGGTGAGAGGATGGTTTTGATTTCTCTGTGTGGAGTGGAAACCAGAGCCTAAATGAGGA